GGCAGTTGCAGCTGCTCATGCATAGCTGTGAGCTGAGAGTGTATTGCAGTTGCAACAACAATAGAAGTCCAATCAAGTGTCGAGGCAGCTAACCTAGTGGCAGTGCCTGAAGAGGGGGTCTGTGGGAAGCCCACAACCCACAGGGAGAAGGAGCCAAGGAACACAAGTGGACACAGGGGAACATGCTGAAAAAGCCTGAAGACAGAGCAGGCTGGTCATGGGTGACTAACTCTAGTGAAGTTTAGAACCCAGATGCCTGTGGAGTTTGGGGCCTATGGAATTTGAGTGGCAAAGCCAGGAGGAACCAGCTATCTCATGATTTCATGCCTCAAGTTGGATGCCAGGTGAAGTGTTTATCTAATTTATCAATAAAAATCAGGAGTCAGATATCAGGGTAAGGCCCTGAATGATCAGAGAAGCTGCAGAAAAGCCACCAGTGACCTCCTACCTCTTTCTTTTCTTCTTCCAAAAGGGCCAAGATTCTCTTTAAGTCTCACCTTACTACTTCCCCAGTCATCCAAAACCTCTATGGTTAATTTTGGTCAGATAGTAGCTGGTTCCGCCCTCTGATTCAAAACAAACTTTATTGTCAGAATGTAATCAAAATATCACACAACACTTCGTCGTACCAAGGATTGGAAAACCTGAGTGAAAACTTGCACTTGCCAGCACTGCAGTGAAGGAAATATAATTACTGAAAGGATTAAGCAGCCATTTTCAATGTGTTGTCAAAAAATTACATGTTCTCTGGACACCACTATAGAAAAAGAAATTTCAGCAAAGAACTAAAAGTTATGAGAAAGAATCAAATATAAATTATGGACTTGAAAATACAAAAGCAGGGGAGGGAACCAATAAAATGGTGATAAAGGAGTAAGAGGTGAAATTGAGATGGGCAATAGAATTATAAATTTAAAAATAATGACAAAATACAACAAGGAAAAGAATGAATTGACTATATGAGACCAGGGATGCCAGGCAGTAGTGGCGCACGCCTTTAATTCTAGCACTTGGGAGGCAGAGGCAGGTGGATCTCTGAGAATTGGAGGCCAGCCTGGGCTACAGAGTTCCAGGACAGCTAGGAAGCTAGGACTGTTACACAGAGAAACCCTGTCTTGAAATATTTTTTTTAAAAAAAGACCAGGAACAAAATGTGCAATATAAATACCATTGGAGTATCAGAAGAATGGACTAACTTAGGAATTTTTGCAGGAGGGGAACATAGAGGAGTGTGTCAAGATAAAGAAAGGCATGAGTGACACCCTCCTGAAGAGTACTCTTGTAGCTCAGGAAATAACAAGAATTGACAAATAAGACTTCATGTAACTAAAAGTATCTGCACAGCAAAAGCAGTAGAATAAAGTGAGAGTCCAGAGTCCAGTGTTTGTCAGGTGTTCATCTGACAGAAGTTTAATATTTAGAATAAAAAAACTCAAAAAAAACTATATTTCTTTTTGCTAGTTTCTAACCCACCCTGTAAATTGTTCGCTGCTTTTCTGTACTCTCTAATGTGTTCAACTGCTCTTTATAATGTTTTTAATCTGCATTTTTTTGATTTATTAAAGTATTTTGCTGGGTGGTGATGGCGCATGCCTTTAATCCCAGCATTTGGGAGGCAGAGTCAGGTGGATCTCTGTGAGTTCGAGACCAGCCTGGTCTACAGAGCGAGATCCAGGACAGGAACCAAAATGTAGCTAGAGTTTTCCTGCCTGGCCCACAGTCAGGACAAATCTCTGTCACTCGCCAGTCCCACAGCCACTCAGACCCAACCAAGTAAACACAGAGACTTATATTGCTTACAAACTGTGTGGCCATGGCAGGCTTCTTGCTAACTGTTCTTATAGCTTAAATTAATCCATTTCCACAAATCTATACCCTGCCACACGGCTCATGGCTTACCGGCATCTTCACATGCTGCTTGTCCTGGCGGCAGCTGGCAATGACTCCCTTTCCCTTCCTGTTCCCTTATTCTCCTCTCTGTTAGTCCCACCTGTACTTCCTGCCTGGCCACTGGCCAATCAGTGTTTTATTTATTGACCAATCAGAGCAACAGATTTGACATACAGAACATCCCACAGCACCAGAACTACACACAGAAACCCTGTTTCGAAAAAAAAAAATTTTTTTTCTCACATAATATATCCTGACTGTGGCTTCCCCTCCCTTCCTCTCCTCAGCTCCTCCCACCTGCCCCTCGCATCTGATTCACCCCCTTTCTGTCTCATTAGAAAACGAACAGTCTTCTAAGGGATGATTATAAAACAAAATATGATAACATAAAACTTAAACTAACACAGTGGAGTAGGACAAAACAAACTAACAAACAGAAGGGAAAGAGCCCAAGAGAAGGCACAGAAAAGAGAGACCCAATCGTTTGCACACTCAGGAAGCCCATAAGAACACTAAACAGGAAGCCATAATATATTTATATGCAGAGGATTTGTAGGATAAACAGAAGAAAATATATATAAATAAAATAAAAAGTTAAGATTTAAAAAGAAAGAGAAAGCCCTGACAAAATTATGAGAAAAGGAACCTCCAAATATGCCATTCAGTTCATTTTCTGTTGGACATCTAATGCTGGGCTTGCAGCCTATCCTTAAGAGTGATTTGTTTCCCCCATAGACTCCTTTGGAGGAAACTAAATTTTCATTTACAAGTGGTTATCAGTTGGAGATTGTTTATGGGTTAAGGGTGGAGGCAGGTGTCAACTTCTCTTTTCAGCTCTAGAGCTCTATCTGGTGCAGACCTTAGCAGGCCCTGTCCATGATGCCTCAGTCTGTGAGATTATGTATATGTTAATCATGTTGATTTAAAGGGCCTTGTTTTCTTGGTGTCCTCCATCCCTTCTAGCTCTTACACTCTTCCTCCCTCCTCTTCTACAGGGTTTCCTAAGCCCTGAGGAGAAGAATTTGATGGAGATATCCCATTTAGGGCTGAGTGTTCAAAGGTCTCTCATTCTCTGCAAAATGTCTGGCTGTGGGTCTCTGCATTTGTTCCCATCTGCTACAGGAGGAAGCTTCTCTGATGATGGCAGAACTGAGTATAGCAGAATGTCATTAGGAGTCATTATAATGCCCCCCAAGAATCTCAGATTCTTGCTCACCTAGTGTCAAGTATTGTTTCTATATCATAGAGTGAGCTTTAAGTCAAATCAGATATTGGTTGTTTACTTCCACAAGCTTTGTGCCACCGTTGCCTTAGCATATCTTACAGTCTGGATACCACTGTAGTTTAAAGAGTTTGTGGCTGTGTTGGTGTTTACATTTCTCCTTTGGCAGCCTGCAGAGTACCTTTGTGTACCAAAGATACTAGCATGTAGGGGTGAAGGCTCTGTGGAGGCAGCAGTCAACTTCTGTTCAATGAGTTGTGTAGGTGTTGTCTTCAGCCATGTGACCTGCTGTCAGTTTGTAGAAAGCAACCTATAATCTTAGAACAGCGCCTGGGTTGTTCAAGGGTTCTCATGGGATCCCTTTGACCAACAACTCAAATAGAGGTAACCCAGTCCCAGTACTCGAAGCTTCATTTGGTGACAAGAGATGTCCAGTTTGGGCTCTGTCTCCCCATTATTTGGTGATTTCATTTAGATCACCTTCATATATGTATATATTTTAGGAAGCTTCCACTGAAATAAGTTTTCATACTACCCCTCAAATGGCCTTTACTTTTAGCTGTCTTTCCTCATATTCCCTCATTTCTCTTCTTCCTTACCCCTTTCTACTTGATCCTCCCATTACAATCTCCCATCCATAACTATCTATTCTATTTCCTTTTCTTAATGAGATCTATCTCTACCCCCTACTCTCTTACTCTATACCCAACTTCTGTTGTTCTATGGATTTAGTAGCTTATCAATGACTTAACATCCACATATAAGCAAATACATACAATTTTTTTACCTTCTGGGTCTGAGTTTCCTCCTCACTCAGAATGATGGTTTCTAATTACTTCCATTTACCTGCAAATTCAATTTTTTTTAATGGCTGAGAGTAATACTCCATTGTATAAATGTGTCACATTTTCTTTATTCATTCATCTGTTTATGAATAGAGCAGCAATGAATGTGATTGAGCAAGTGTCCTTGTGACAGAATGAAGTGTCCTTTGGGTATGTGGCTAAGAGTAGTGCAGCTGAATCTTGAGGAAAATCTATTCCCAGCTTCCTAAGGAAGTGTCACACTAATTTCCATAGTGACTGTACAAGTTTGCACTTCCACCAGCAATGAATGAGTGTTCCCCTTACTCTACATCCTTGCTAGCATGAGCTGTCACTTCGGCTATTGGTCTTAGCCATTTTGATATGTTTAAGATGTAATTTCAAAATAATTTTGTTTTGCATTTCACTGATGGCTAAGGATATTGAACATTAATTGAAGTGTTTCTGAGCCATTTGAGGTTCCTTTCTTGAGAACTGTATTTAGAACTACCCCATTTTTCCATTGGGTTGTTTTCTTGATGTCTAGTTTTTTGAATTCTTTATATATCTTTTGGATATTAGACCTCTATTGTATGTGTAGCTGGTAAAAATCTTTTCCCATTTTTTAGGCTGCTGCTTTGTTTAAATGATGGTGATATTAGGAAGTAGTGTCTTGCAGTTTTATTGGGTATTTTATTACTTTCTTCACTAACACTGATTTTATATCCTATTAATATTTTGATGAGAATTTATTTCTCTTTCTTTTTAATGTCTCTGATACAATGCATCCTGACCGCAGTTTTCCCTCCCTCTGCTCCTCTCAGTTTTCTTCCACCTCCCCTTCCCCCAGATCAGCTCCCCCTCCATTTCCTTTCAGAAAAGAGCAGATTCAGCACAAAATCCCATGCTTATGGGCTCAACAACATCCAGTATTTAGTCATTGCCTACATGTTCAGTTATTCTGTCTTGTTTCATAGATAAGACTGGAAACAAAGTAACTTTTTGGAAACATAATCTAAGTAATATTCAACATTGTTAGTACTCTGTTGTAGTATAAAAAGTTAATTGTAATTTCTTATTTGAAGCTCATTTAGCTGCTTCTGCTGGAAATCTCCTGTTTTTTGCCAGTTTCTTTCCCTATAACTTCATCTCTGAACACTATGGAATGTTGGGCCTTACCACCAAGGTGACTGCCTGTCTGAGCGCAAATGTTGCATTGGCACTGGGGATTGATATTTTAATCAAGTTGGAAATACAAGGTGGGTATTGGTATTGCTGATTTAATTCTTAGGAAACTGGGTACCCAGGAGATGAGAAGGTAAGAAAATTTTATATTTTCCCAAAATTTGTTTATTATATACGTAGTTATGTAAAATATGAAAAATCTGAAGTTCCCACACCTTGCTGGGAAGTTATTGGCAATTAATGGGCAGAGGGAAAAATGTCTGTTTTCTTCAGCACTGTAGCCCATGATAAGTTGCCCATGCTCCGGTTGATGGTGCCCTACACACATGCATGTATGGACAGCATTAATTGGATTCAAGGGTTATAAAAGAAAAAAAAGACATGAAGTTGAGAGAGGGGAGGAAGTCAGGATGAGTGAGTTAGAGTGGGGGGACAAGGGGTGGCTGTGTCCTAAATGCATGTATTAGTGTATGAAATCACCAATGAACAAAAGTTTCTAAAGAAAAGTCTAGAGCTCAGATTGTCCCATCTCTTTTTTCTGTGAACTTACACTGTCAAATAAATCATTTAAGAACTTTTATTATTTTTATTCTCTAAAAAAATCTTGGACTTTTCCCCATGCAAGAATATGCTTTTGTTCTTCTCGTAACATTGTTTAGTATTTCATCATAGTAAGCGGAATCAACCACTTCCTTTTCCATATATGTTTAGGTAGCTTATGGTTCTTGCTGTTATCCATAGCAGTTTATGTGTATGTGGTCATATGTGCATATTATGAAAAATAAATTCCTAATTGCAAAAGTGATAACTACACTAGGCAAGGAGACAATGCCTGTATCCTAATTACTTAGGAGGCTGAGATGAAACTTGAGCCCAAGAGTTTGAGACCATCCTGTACAACATAGCAAGACTATAGACTATTTTTTAAACGTCTAAGCTACGAAAGTACTGTCTCATACGTGCTTATAGCTTAAATTTTATTTATATTACAATGGTTATTGAACAGATGACTCCAATAATAATATTCTGATTTTTTGAGAATTTAATACCAGTGTCACAAGAATTTTGTGACTTGATACTAGTTTTGGTTTGGGGGTTGTTGTTGTTTGGGGTTCTTTTGTTTTTTGTTTTGTTTTGTTTTGTTTTGTTTTGAGATAGAAAGTCACTAGTTAGCCCCAGCTGGCCTACAACTTGCAATGTAAACCAGGCTGGTCTCAAATTCACAGAGATAGACCTGCCTCTGCTTCCAGAGTGTTGGGAGTGAAGGTAGGCGCCACATACCAGCCACATATGAATTCTTAATGTGTTAGTATTGTATATCTTGTTCTTTAGTTGATCAGGTTACTTTACATCTGAATTTTAAGATCAATTCCATCAAGTTCTATGAAAACTGTTGTCAGAACTTAGTGAAATTTTTTGTTCTTTTTGCCAATTAATGTGAAAGTTAAGAATACTTAATTTTTTCATCTGTTAATAAAAACTTTCCAATAAGAGGCCTATCAGAGGAGTGTGAATGTTATTTGTTTATAAATACTTCCATAATTTTTATTTTTCTGGAAGCATTAACAACCCACATTATTTCAACTAGGTGTCATATTTCCATTGGTTTATTGTGGAAGAGCATAACTTTTAATTTCCTAGTAACTTGTTTTTTTTTATCAGCTTTTGTGGTTGCACCCATGCCACAACAAACCTAGACAAGGTTTATCAATTTTACATTAGTTATTGTCTCTTTTCTCTATTATAAACTTTATCTTTCAGGAACTCTATTTTGTTTGAAGCGGGAGGACTTCTCAGCTTACTGGAAATTTCTTGTGGTGTATATTTAGACTCCCATTTTTTCTGTGATTTCTAATTTATTGTTTATTACCTCTCAAAATGGATTTAATTTTTATAATCATTTTTGATTCCATAGAATATTTTTCTCATATTATTACCCTTTCTTTTAAAAGATCCATTGTTCATGTATGTTTTCAAAGGGAAAAAAGGCCAGAGTTGAAGAACAGATGAACTTGATGAGCTCTTGTCCTTTTTAAGTCTTACCTCTTGAAGCATGGTTTTCTGCAAATCTAATTCCTGTCCTGTTGTGGAGGCAGGAAAGAAAAAGCATTCCTGCCCTTCCTTTGGTGACTTCCATCCGTGCTAAGCAAGAGTCCGTGTTTCCATCTGTCTTCATTGCTGTAGAATGTATTTTACACATTTGAGCATTCTTGTGCTTGTTTCTGTGGGAAATTAGCTTGAGAGGGAAATAACAAGATAGATTCTAGTAAGTCTGCTTTTCCCTTGCTGTTCTTTTTGTGTGTTTATTTGTTGTTTCAGTTATTCACTTCATTTTAATCATTCCTAATAGTTTTTAAAGGTTTTGAAGAAAAAGGGGGGAAATGCAACCCTCGTTTTCTGTAGTAATACAGTTTCTAAGGGTTATCAGCAGATAGGTAATTCACAATACAGAGTACCAGGTCACAAAGATTTCATTCATGCCCAGTGTCTCCTTTTCATTTCAGAGATTGGTGTTAAATGGCATAATCTTTGGACACCAGCCAATCTCGAGGATAACTTCATCTTTGGCTATATGTTCGGAATGCTTCTGCTTGACGCTTTCTTATACAGCCTTATTACCTGGTATGTAGAGGCTGTCTTTCCTGGGCAGTGTGATGTGCCTCAACCATGGTACTTTTTCCTTATGGTAAGTTCTTGTTTTTCTTTCTGTTTTTCTTTTACTGAAAATAGATTTTTCCTACAATATAGTCTAATTATGGTTTCCCTTCCTTTAACTCTTTGAGATCCTCCTGCCTCCCTTTATGGTGAGTTTTTAATGCTGCTGTTATTTCCAAATGGTCATAATCCTTGTAAACCTATTTCAATAAATGTTGTAATCAAATTAAAAAGCCAAATTCTGATCAACCTAATCTGTATACCACCAGTATTGAGACATTATCCTTTCTTGATGTGCTGTAAAGTCTCCTCTGTATATAGTTGCATAACATGTGTAGATAAAACACTGAAACTTTTAAAACTGTAAGCGCTATGCCCCTGTAGCCAGACAATGTGGTCCCTTAGACTAGAGGGTGGAGAAACAAAGGGAACTCACACCAAATTAATGTGTGGTGCTTTCTTAGGTTCTGTCAAAGAGAGAACTAAGTATTTCCTGTACCTCCTTTCACCACTTGGTCCCTTTCAGGAGGCTAACCATTTATTTGCACAGAACAGAAAACTGCCTACTTCTTTTCCTTAGGAATCCCTTATCATGACTGGGTGATTGCAGTGAACACACTATGGCCAAGTGTGATGAGCCATGGCTACAAGCTCACTTTGCAAAAATTCAGTTCTGTCCTTCTACCTTAAAAACTACTCTCTAACAGTTTTGCTTAAATACTGGAGATTAAAATTGTAGATAATTTGGCTGAAAATGGTATACCTGAAAATACATTACAGCTTTGTTCTTCATGTAGAGTAAATAGAACCAAACTGTTTCCTAGTTCTTAGAAATTTTCACTTTTTTAGTGAAATACATATGACATAAAATTATCAGTTTTTTTTTTTTTTCGTTTTTCAAGACAGGGTTTCTCTGTGTAGCTTATGGAGCCTGTCGTGGAACTCACACTGTAGACCAGGCTGACCTCGAACTCACTGAGATCCGTCTGCCTCTGCCTCCCCAGTGCTGGAATTAAAGGCATGCACCTGGCAAAATTATCAATTTTTAAATGAAGTCACTAATACTTGGCATATTTACAATGTAGAGTCATGGTATGCAACCTTGACCTCTCTACTTATGGTTTTTCATCTCTAAGAACTAAAACTATGACCTAAGAAAAAGTAATCTCCAGGTTTTATACTTCAGGCACCTCTAATTTGCTTGATTTTTCCATTCAGTGTGTATTATAAAAATGCAGTCATAATAATTAACTGTTTGTAGGTGCTTTAAGTAGTTTTTCAGGTTTATCCATGGTATAGTGCGAACTGATATTTACTCATCCTGTTGTACAGCTGCATAATATTGTATATCTATCTCACTGGAGGACATATTGTTTTGTCTCTTGTCTGTTGTGAATAGGACTATTTTTAATTATTTATAGCTAGGACTGGAACTACTGGTTCTTATGGCACTTCTGTGTTTAAGGTTTTGGAAACCCTTCCCATAAAGTAATAAGGTTCCATTCCTTCACTCATACTTCCTTTTATAGTAGTTACCTAATATGTTTTATGTGACATTTAATTGAATTTCCTGATAACCCATAATAGATACGATATTTATGTGATTATTGGCCTTTGTATATCTTGTTTAGAGAAACAAATTCAGGTCATGTGCCCATTCAGTAATTGTTGTTTGCTTTTTCATATAATAAACCCTTCTTTAATATATGATTTGCAAGTATTCTCTCCTATTCTATAAATTGTCCTTTTACTCTTCATTATATTCTTTAACACACACAAATTCTTAGTTTTGATGAACTAATTATCTGGTTTTAGTTAATTGTTTATATATTTCATATCGTTTCTAAGAACCATTGTGAAATCCAAGGTCATAAAATTTTGTCTTTTTACTTTCTCCTAAGAGTTGAGAAGTTTTTGCTCTTGTACTTAGATCATTGGTTACTTTGAATCAATTCTTTATGTAGTGTGAGGTAGTAGTCCACCTTCTTGCTTTGCACAGATACTCTATTAGTCCAATACCATGTTTTGAAGAAATTACTCACTTCCTATTGAATATGGCCTTGGCACTGTAGATGAAAAACAATTAGCCAAAAATGCATGGGTTGTTTCTTGATTCTCAGTCTTAATCCTTTGTAAATATCCTTGCTCTAGTATGACATCATTTTGTTACTATAACCATGTTATAAGTTTTAAAATCTGCAAGTGTGAGTCATCTACCTTTGTTGTTCTTTTCAAGATCATTTGGGACTAACAAGTGGTTAGTGTGATTCAGTGTGATCCTGAGATTCAGCTTTTCTGCAAAAATGCCCATTGGAATTTTGACAAGGATTGGACTGTGGTGGCACATTTAGATAGTGTTACTGTCTTAGAAAGATTAGGTTCCAGTTCATGTGTCTTCTGTTTTATTTTGGTAGTCTTCAGGTTCTTTCCAAAGAACTTGAAGATTTTCACTGTAGTAGTCTCTTATTTCTTTACCTAACTTATTTATTCCTTATATTTTGTTGGTTTTGGATGCTGCTAAGAATGAAATTGTCAACTTTGTTTTTGGATATTTTTTACTACTTTACTAATATATACAAAACAGTTGATTATTATATGTTGTTCTTGTCCATTGTGTCTTTCTGTTTCTCAGTCCTGCTTGTTTGTAGGTATATGAATAGTTGGGATTGTGTCCTCTTTAAATGATTCACCTCTTCTGTTTCCATTGGGTTGTGTTTTATTTCTTTTACTAGCTCACTGCTTTTTCTAACTAACACTTGTCATACAAAAGTGGTGAGTGTGAAAGGTGGATGGCAGACATCGTCTGTCTTGTTTGGGATTTAAGAGACAACGTTTTCAATCTCTCATTATTGAGGATTGTTATTTGTAAGTTTGGGAAGTTTTTCATAAAGACACTTTAAGGTTTCTAGATTTCTAAGCATTTTTTGTCATGCATGAACTAAAATTATCCTGTGGTATTTTCTTTTATCTTATTAATGTGATACTACATTGATTGATTATAGTGTCTGGAACCATCTTTCAAATACCTTTCACTTTGTAATGGCATATAATCATTTTGATATACTAGTAGATTCAGCTAGTTGGCATTATATTGAAGATTTTTGATTCTGTATTATAAGATCTATAGTTTTTCCACTTGTCTTTGTCCAGTTTTGGTGTCAGGATGATACTGATTTCTCAATGAGTTAGGAGATATTCCCTTATGTTTTTGGAAGAGTTGAATAAAAACTGTTAATTTTTGTTTAAGTATTTGAGAAAATTCCCTAATGAAACTATCTTGTCAAGTCTTTGTAGGAATGTTATTGATCACTAATTCACTTCGTTATAGGTCTATTTAGAGTTCAATTCTTTTTTTCTATTTAAATTTTTTATTATATATGTTTTTCCATGTTTTCCTCTTCCCCCAACTCCTCTCCATCTCCCTACCCACTCACTCAACTTTACGTTCTTTCTCTCCCTTTCAAAAAACAGTTTTTGTTGTTGTTACTAACATGTTCTATTTATTTATTAATAAAAGTGCATAGTACAAGCCCTTTACACATCCAAGTGCTCAATAAAAGATTAACACAAAACCCTGGATAGCACAGACTTAAATGTTTGACATGATTTAAACCTTTAGAAACAGCAAATTGAAACAAAAAGTTTTAATGCTCGTTTTGGTAATGATCTGTTATCTCTTTCTGTAGCGCTCATACTGGTTTGGCAAACCAAAATTTCAAAAGACTGCAGAAGAGATAAAGTGCTTCCCCATAGTGCATAACTGTTTTGAGACTGAACCTACCAACTTGGTAGCAGGTATCCAGATCAAACGTTTGTACAAGGTACTGTTTTAAATGTTCCTGCAGGAACCAAAAACCATTTACTATCCATTGAGAATGTTTATAGTTGGCTAATTCAGAAAAAGAGATGCCTTAATTGCTTTATTTTAATCATAATTAGTATAGTTGTCCTCTAAGAATCAGAACTTGGTTGGAGATGTGTTTAATAAATCATATAAATATAGATATTTCTTTACAAATGTTGTGTTATTCACTCCACCATTAAGCATTACTTTCATTCTTCACTGATGGACATGGCAACAAGTGATAATGTGATTTTATAAAAGTGTATGTTAATAAATAAACTTGATGCAATGCTTCATTTAGAGGTTGTGAGGGGTGTAACACTACTGGCAGTCTCCTGGCAGTTAACTTTCTACTTTTCTTAAATCTGAAACAATCTTGATGTCATCTTCATTTTCTAAGAGTGCTTTCATTGGATATCCATTTTTATAATAAAGATGTTGCTGTGCTATTGTTCTGAAATTTATTTTTTCAGATTTAATGAGCTATAATGAGCACATAAACATTTCATTTGTTTTAGGTATACAGTATGATTGGTGTACATGTGTACTGTGGAAGGGTTTACCATAGTCAGATATTTAACATCCATTACCATCCATGGGTTTTGATAGTTCATATTAATGAGAAAATTTAAAATTTGCTCTCGTCACATTTCAGATAAACAATGCTATATTATTAATTATCATTGCATGTTATAATTAGACTCCAAGATTTATTTATTTTACAACTGAAAGTTGGTGCCCTTTAACCAATGTATCTCTATTTCCCTCAGTACTTGATAACCACTGTTCCACTCTCTCCTAATGTGTTGTTTTTAGATTTTTACATGAAATCATAATTTTTGCCTCTGTGTCTGGCTTCTATTCATTATAATGGTGCCCTTTAACCAATGTGTCTCTATTTCCCTCAGTACTTGATAACCACTGTTCCACTCTCTCCTAATGTGTTGTTTTTAGATTTTTACATGAAATCATAATTTTTGCCTCTGTGTCTGGCTTCTATCCATTATAATGGTCTCTGGGGTTTGTTCATGTATTAGAAATGGCAGGATTTCCTTCATTTATAACCAAATAATATTCTAGCTGTGTCTCACATCTTTATCCATTTATTTATTGACAGATAGGTTTTTACTTGTCTTGGGCATTGTAAATTATGCTTCACTGAACATAGAAATGATTGTTCTTAATCTCAGAAAGGAAATAATCTTAGCATTGCATCATTAGGTGTGAAGTTTACTGTGGACTTGGATTATTAGGTTAAGTAATTCGTTTTCTATTATTTTGTTATAAATTTAAAAATAAAAGATAATTTAAAAGTACATTTTCTACATTTTTATGTGACTTGAAAGGGTTTTTCTTAATTCTGTTTTTCTCTTACATGTGTTTGTGCATGGGTGTGTACATGTGCACACATATATGGATACATTATTCATTGAAGCATATCTCTCAGTCAGAGCTAAAGCTCACAAATATGTCTAATCTTGATAGTCATCTTGCTCTGTGGAGCCACTGTTTTGCCTTCTCAGGAATTCAGGATCAGACTCCTTTCTTTTGCTTATGCAAGAAGTAATTTAACCCTTGACCTTCTGTTTTTGTTTTGTTTTGATTTTTGAGACAGGGTGTTGTTATGTAGCTAGGTTGGCACTAAATTCATGATCTTTCTGCCTCCATCTCCTAAATACTGGATTACTGGTAGTATAACTTCTCACAAGCATTGTTTCCAGGAAACAATTCTGCTTCAGCTCTTAATTTGCTTCCTATAATGTCCTTTCATTTTCTGGTACCTTATAACAAATTTGTCACTAGTTTTGTACAAATTGGTGATTTTTATTAAAGATAGTTTTCCTTTGGATCTCTTCCTGGTTTTATTAACTCCAGAAAATCTGTACTTCACAGAGGGGAGGATACTGGGTAGTTTTGTTTCTGTTAAATATTAATATTTTGCTTTAGAAGCAGTTTAATTTCTTGGCAACAGTTTGATTCTTTCATATCTGTTTTGCTTAGTTTACAGTTAATTATTCCTCGTGATTGAAACACAATCCCTTTTTATAGTCTGTCCATGCCTGAGAATTTACTATGCCACAGTCTTTAAACTGTGTAAGATTTGGGAACATCATAGGACTGACTTTGCCTTTGTCTCTGGAAGGCCTTTCCTTTGCTCCCTGATAAAACTTTTGTTTCATATGTAACACTGAAATAATCCATGCAAGAAAATTACAAATCGCTACACTTTATGAAGCCAATTAAGAGTATAGTAAGTCCTCTAGCCGGCTGACCAAGAGCAGGCTCCTGCCTGGAGAAGATTCTTGGTGCCACAAAGAATCATAGGGATTTTAAAATCAGAAGGCTGCAGTCACATCATACCTGATGCAGGCTTGTAACTTTGATCGCATAAAACATCACACAAGGCCATTCCTCCAAAGGAACCAAACTTTTTTTTAACCTCTCAGGACTCTTATTTAGCAGGGAAAGATGATCCTATTCATCTTGGGGGAAAAAAAAAAGTTTTCCAGGGGAGGAAATCAGGAGTCAGGGGAACCTAGCTTTCTTAAGCTAGTTCATCACTATCACATGTACCATTTTAGGACCTTTGTTTTGCTCATAATGTTGATTATATCTGGATTTATTTTTATTTGTCTTTATCGTTTGTCTCGTGTTTTGTGAAGGCTTCAGTAAAGCAGAGATTTATATGTGACTTATGTTAAGGTGTGGGATTATATTCAAGTTTTCCTTTTTTGTTTGCATATTGAGATGAATTGGGAGGGGTCAGTCACTGAGTTGGAAGGGGACAGTTGAATATATTTTTAAAGGATAATATTGATTTTTAAATTTACTGAAGTGTAGGTTAATAATATAGATATATTTCAGGTTTTTAAACATGCCAATTGTGAGATGTTTATGAAATATTTAAATATGTTTCTGGTAGAGATTGTATTTAGAGATACAAGTTACACCCAACCTAGAGGAAGATAGTGACTATGTACACTGATGACATGACTTCTCCATAGTATGGTTAAGGGGAAGGTTTTTAGTATAGATAGGAGAGAGAGAACAGCCAGAGGCATCTGGAAGAGTCTAGAACAGTGAGACAAGTAGACGGACTGTAGCTAGCAGACTGGACCTTGAGAGAAGCAGGAATAGAGCAGGGCAGAGCATGAGAGCAAGAGAAATGGCAGGGTTGAGGATTAAAGAGGATGAGTGGTTGGGGTCGCAAGCTTGTGAACTGGAGGGAGTTTAGGGTAGAGAAGGAGGTAAGAAGGGCTAGGAGGACAGCATGCTCTTTGGTATGCTAATAGGCACCACAGATGGCTGTTTGTCCCTTCTGCCAATGATAAGGGAAAGGCTTCTTCTGGTACAGGGGAACAGGCTTCACAAGTTACTGAGGAATGCTGGCTTTTGTCTAACTGCCAGAAATCCTCCTATATTTCTGGGTATCTGGACTGCCTTTTAAGAGTTTGGGGAACTAGAGCTTCTTTTGGACCTGACAACAACATCATCCGTTTTTGATAGCATGAGTTTGATGATATAAGTAGAGGGTGTAAGTGTTTGTCTTTTTAACTGACAGATAACAAATTACTCTTTCATCCCACAGGAGTTTAGAAACAAACCCGCAGTAAGCAACTTGTCATTGAACGTGTATGAGGGGCAGGTCACTGTTCTTCTGGGACATAATGGGGCAGGAAAGTCCACAACCTTGTCTGTTCTCACAGGTGTGTATTCATCTCCAGTCAGAACAAAGGAACCTTCCTAAAACTGAAAAACAAGGATTTTACTCTTGAGGACTGGCCACTGATCTCTCCAGATACAACTCACTTGTGCTGAGTACTAGCAGAACAATAAAGCCCAGAAACTAGGACATCCAAGAGCAAAAGAGAGGGACAGAGAGGAAGAGACAGGGGAGGGAGAGGCAGACATCTTCCTACAGTTGACCCTGCTCTGCAAGTTATGAAAATAATTGCATAGGACCAGTGCTTTCCATTGGAAACAGGGATAGACAAGACTTACGTCCAAGTCTTTCTGAATTCACCAAAGAACTGATGTCTCTTCCACTTGGTGTTAAACAGTGGTTTTCTGTACAGTATATTATGTACAGTTAACAATACTGTATAAAGCACTCTAAACTATGTTAAAAGGTTCAGTATTATGTTAGGTGTTATTCCCCAAAAGCAAATATTGGAAGTATGTATATGATGTGTTTAGCATACTAAATTATACTACATACATATTTTAAAACCCATCAACATGCATACTCTAAGTGCATGTAATTATTTATCAAATACACATCAATAAAGCTAAAAACTGAAATTACGATACGATCCTTTTCTGGATACATGTCCAGGAATATTGAGAACAGAATCTTAAGAGCTACTTTCACACTCAAGTTTCTAGCAGTATTTGCCCAAGCTACAGAAATACTCCAGATTTTTGTCAACAGAGAACTGGTAAGAAAGTGTAGTATATTCATATTCATACAATAAAATACTCAGGTTTAAACCAGAAAGAAATCCTGTTTCATGCTATAATGTGGATAAAATTTGATATTACTAAGTAAACCAGTTACAAAAAGAAAAATCTAGAATGATTCCACTTATGAGAGATATCTATGTAGAGTTGCCAAATTTATAGAAACAGGCTGGAGAATCATGATTGACAGAGACTGGTTTTTCATCACAAAGAATAGAATATAGCAGGTAGCACAATGAAGTATTTAAAGTAGGAGAGGGCAGAGATTTTTAACCAAAATTTTATACCTAGCAAAATTGTCCTTCAAAAGTAATAGAGAAATTTAGACATAAGCAGGAAATAGAGGCTGAAGGAGTTCATTACTATACTATTTAGTATTTCATAAAATGCTAGGACTCCTTAATGTAGCAATGAAAGTAAACTAGAAAGTCACTTAAATCTTCTATGGAAAAGATACCCAGCTAAAGCAACTGCATATATATATAAAAAAAAAAAAGCAAGAATTATTGTAGTTTTGGTTTGCTATATTGTTAGAAAGAGAAATGCACAAAAAAATGTAATTTTGTGATGGCAACATAAAGGAAAGAGGGTATAGATATATAGGAGCAATGTTTAGCTTAGCTTTTGTCTTTGTTTCTTTTTCATTCTGTGAAAAAAATACCCTGACAAGAATAACTTCTGGGAGGAAGTGGTTTTTTTTTTTTGGCTCACAGTTCCAGGAGAACACAGTCCATCTTGGTGAGGAAGACATGGCATCAGGCAGGGAAGGCGTGGTGCAGAAGCAGGGGGCTAGCTGGTCACTTTGCATCTCTACTCAGGAAGCAAAGAGTGAACAGGAAGTGGCCAGGCTATAAAACATCAAGGCCCACCCCCAGTGACTCACTCCCTTTACCAGGGCTCTACCTCCTAAAAGCTCTATAACCTTCCCAAACAACACCACCAGCCTATGGGGGATATTCCACAATTAAACCACCACACTGTCAAAGTTAAGATGCATGAGTACAGCCAAATTAAAATAAATGTAAAATACTGTTTTTTACCATAACCGTAAAAGTTAAATTTAAAGAAAATCTCTAGAAAGCCACCTAAACAAAAATTAAGGTGATAATGAAGGAAGTGAGGGACAAACACAAGCCATTTATAAGTAATTGCCTCATAGTTAAAATATCCAGTTAAAAGGTAGATTTTGGGAACATGGCTTCTTTTACAATTACCAGTCTCTATGTTGCCTATAAATATATGATGATATTCATAAATGACACTGTTTAGTAACCCCTTGATGAGCATGGAAGAGAGAGGGTAAGCAACTGCTAGTCCAGACTACCATCTCTGTTCTCACTAGCCTCCAGGTGACTAAAGTATGCTGTGTCCCTTAGCATGCAAAGCCAGCCTTCTGGATTGATAGATACAGCAGTAAGCTTAGAATGGAGGTTTTCGGCTAAGGTGTCCAAAGGTAGGGGAAAGGCTGTGCTGACTGCCAGCCAACTGACCTCTTCTGCCCGAGATGACAACTTGGCCATTTGCATTTCAGTGACTTTTGAAAGAGGACTTCTACCTGTCTGCTTCCACTTTGGGAGAGAATCTAGCAAGAGCAAAATTCTAAAATTCTGTATTCTTTGTGTTACTTATATCAGTTCTGAACTTGTTACTAAAGTGTTAATAAAAATATTTTGTTGGTACTAAAAGTATATAATGTTTCTGTTTGAATTCATGTTTTTTTTAGAAGATAAGTTCATGTGAAATTTTACTTCTATGTACTCCTTATACTTGCTGTTTCCAATAGTTTTTTCAGTGTTTATAAAGTAGTCTTGTTAAGATCCATATAGTAATAGTAGTCATCTTTCATATTGGAATGTAGCTAGAATGTGACTAAATTAGTCATTTTCTCCATGTTTAACATCTGTCTTCTGTCAAATTAGATGGCCTTGTTATAGGCATCTTTAAATATAATTGGCTGTGTTTGGCATGTGTTTTAAAGATTTGTTTTTATTTATGTATAGGTATGTATGTTTTCCAAATAATTGCCACGTGTGTGCAAGTGTGAGCCACCCATGTAGTACTTGGGAGTTGAACTGAGGTTCTTGGGCTCTTAACTGCTAAGCCATCTCTTCAGCCCCTGTAGTGTATTTTAAATTAACTTTTAAAAACTACATTTTAAGAGTATGCATTTTAAAAAAGATAAGTGAGTCAAGGGGGTTAACAGCTTTATAGTTAGTTATTCACATATTATCAAATATTTCACAATAAAATCTGAATTAATTACCAACAGCATAACATAAATATTATGTATTTAAAATATTTAAATTTATTGAGGATAAGCATTATATTTTTCCCAGTCTTTGTTTTTCACAGCATCTACCCAGTACCTAGTGTGAGCCGCTCAGGGCACAAGTGGCCAAGCCCCACCCCCAGACTGCTCTGATGGCAAGGCCCAGCTCCTCAAGGCCTGTGAGTTCCCAGGCCCCACCCACCCCAGACTGCTCTGATGGCAAGGCCCAGCTCCTCAAGGCCTGTGAGTTCCCAGGCCCCACCCACCCCAGACTACCCTAAAGACCATAACAGCCATTTCCAACCCCTCAAATCACAGGTAGCCAAGCTCCACCCTACAGAAAACAAGCCCAAGATCAGGCCACAAAATCCCACCAATCCCAGGCCACCTTAGAAAGCTCTGCCCCCAAAGAAACCCTATGTAAAGCCTGCCTCCTGCTCAGTTTTTCTGCTTCTCCCTCAAGCAGAGGCTGCCACCCTCATGAGTCTTTCCCAATAAATCTCTTGTATGACTTTTTTGTGCAGTGTGATTTTGTAGTATTCCTTGGTTCCCAACCCCTAGGATACCTTTCCCTTCAGAGCTGCAACACTTCCATCGGTGGAAACCTTTCCCCTCAGAGAAGCTGTAACATTTCATTGGGGAACCTTTCCCCTCAGTGAAGCTGTAACATTGCATTGGGGAAGCCTTTCCCCTCAGGGAAGCTGTAACATTGCATTGGGGAAGCCTTTCCCCTCAGTGAAGCTGTAACATTGCATTGGGGAAGCCTTTCCCCTCAGAGCTGCAACACTTGCACTTAGTATTATACAAATACAGTAACTATCTGATTACAATGATATATAGCAACTAATCCAAATGTTTTCATAATAAACACCAATAAACTCTATACCCATTATAAAAAGTTAGCATGTAAATAAAAAAGAAATAAAACTTAAAAGGACTAATTCTGTCACACTAAAGGCAATTTCTGGTGTTTTTATTTCTCTGTAAACAATACTAATCCTCTTTAATACTCAACAAGTTTGATATGAGCTTACAATTGTATTGCTTATATCACATGAAAACTTAGCATATTCCATGTCTTCCACATAATTCTAGGTCGTTTTCCTGCTACCAGAGGAGAGGCCTATATTAATGGATATAGTATTTCAGATAACATGTTTGAAATTAGAAAAGACTTGGGCTTCTGTCCTCAACATGACCTGTTGTTTGATGACTTGACACTCTCAGAACACCTTTTTTTCTACTGCATGGTGAGTCAGAAGTGTGCCTTATAAAATTACCTAGTAAATTTGACTTTCTTCTTTGATGTTCAGATCTGCTAACTTTAACTTTTTTAAATTGAATTTATTTAACTATTGTGAAAACATTAAAATTATACCTATTGTGTTGCCTGATGTTGATACAGATATATGTTGGACAATGCAGAAATCAAGTTAAACATAGCTGACTCTAATCCAGAGTTTCTCTCTGCATTCTAGAGTACTTCTTCTGGCCAGGCTTCAGCATCTTGTCCTATAATATTTTATCCAAGTCTCCTCACAGTGTAGTTTACCGAAGGTCTGGGCTAGCTGCCCAGCTCCTGGCTCAGCAAGGGCCTTTCTGAAATGGCTACGATGTCAATACTCAGTCATCTCACTATTGTCTCTCCCATGTATATAGTATCTGTTGATCCATCTTACATTGGGAAGAGGTCTAATCCCAGTTTTCAGTGTCTGCTATTCATCAATTAGGATTAGATTCACATTTGCAAGTGCTATAATGAGCACACAACTTCATTACACTGTGTACAACATCACTTTCCTGCTTCTGTTCTCCCTTTGTACTTCCTGCTTTCCCAGATGCTTTTCTCATTTGTTCAGCCAGAAATTATCACCTTCCGTGACTGTGCTCCATCTAGCCTGCAGACAGACAAAGAGGAAGTGTGAGCCTTCCCTCTGGAGCTACAGTGCTGTGGAGCTGTGGAAAGGTTTTCCCTCCCTCAGAGTTTGCCTTGTGCAGACTTGACTTCTCATTTACTCCTGCCACTATCCCCACCAGAAGAATTCCATGATTTGTGTACAAAAGAAAGAGAAGAAAATTTGGTTCTCTGGCTGTCTGGTTTCCTTTCCCATTCAAATCAAAATGGAAAGTTTTCTTTACTCTCTGTCTGGACCAGGGAGCTGACTTGCAAGGTTTGGATTGCTTGGAGTTCTGCTAAAGGGCACACAGGAAAGTGGTAAATAACTATTGGCTCAGTGGTACTGTAGATTCTAGGGTTCTCCAAGACAGCTGCTAATTTTACTTTGCACACTTCTCTGTAGTTAGCAAGGTCAGTGGGCTATAAAGAAGTGTATACATTTCCACAGCATCTGGAGCTCTTCACAGATGTGTTTTCTTTCATCTCCTTGTTAATGGGCCACAGATACCTTTATAAATTCTAAATACAAAAGAAAACACAGTTCTGGTGATTAAATCCAGGGCCTTGCACATATTCTCCCACCAACTTACATCTCTATTCCCTGAAAATTTTTGTTTTAGAAACTGTCTCTTAGATGTGAGGGAAGATACACAAGAAAGAAAACACTTTTAATTGATGTAAATAAAGCTGATGGTGAAGTGTTTCTAGGGATACATCTGTGATACACTTTCATATCTGTATAACATCTAATGACCCTTGATTCCTTGTGACAGTAAAACTGGATGCATGATATAAACCCTGGCTTCTTTTTCCAGGTAAAAGGAATACCTCAGGACATAAACTGTGTGGAAATTGAACGTATGCTGTCTATGTTTAACCTGAAAGATAATTACCATGCATTATCAGGCTCAGTGAGTGGAGGAGTGAGGCGCAAGCTCTCCATCATTATGGCACTTACAGGGGGCTCCAAGGTATTAAGAAGACAAAGAAAGGGGAACACCTTGAGCACAGAATAGGAGGTGAAACGGGGACTCTGTCGGAGTTTCTGCCAGCCGTCCAGAAAACTCGGTTCGCCAAAAGCCTATGAGTTGTTATAAATCTGAAAGGAAACATGATAGTGTAGACAGAAGGGAGTCATTTGCATTTTTATCACAGCTGTTATAAAATAATGTTTTCGATTGTTACTGTTTTCTTAGGTTCACATCTATTTTAGTTGTCATTCTGTACCTTAGCTCCAGTGTTCTCCCTTCAAACAGTAAATAAGCCCCTGAGTAGCTTAGTATTAATTATCAGTGATCATAGAATTGTTCTTCTGGCTTTTAGGTAGTGATACTTGATGAACCATCATCTGGCATGGACCCAATGTCAAGAAGGGCCACCTGGGATATCCTTCAGCATTATAAATTCAATCGGACCATTTTACTAACCACCCACTACATGGATGAAGCTGACATCCTGGGTGACCGCATTGCCATCATGGTCAGGGGGACCTTGCACTGCTGTGGCTCTTCCGTCTTCCTGAAACAAATATATGGTCTCACTCCATTTGATCATTCTTAGTATAGTAATGCCTTAATAATACTCTTCTAACATTATTTTCACTATATTCCCAAAACTTAATTACCTTCCTCGATTCTGCAATTTTAATCTCAATTAATATAACTTTAAAAAAATTTTTTTTAATTCTTTGAGACTATCATATGTGCTTTGATCATGGTTCTTTACAATCTGAAACAAAGTTGCTGTCCCATTTTGTACTTACCAACAATCTTCTTTGTCTGTGGAATGCATCTGCATCCTGATGGTTATTTGGTCAATTGAAATGACTGACTGATTCATTCATTAATTCATTCATTCACTCGCTGAGGAGAGGAGGAACCAGATAGCCAGCCCTTCCTTTAGTTTCTGTTACCAGAACCAGTATTATGCCTCACCATAATGACATAAATCTGAAATTTGGTATTGGCAGTAACAATGTAATGCAGAATAAATGAATTAAATAAATGAGGGCTGAAGAAATGGCTCAGTGGTTAAGAACACTTGTTGCCTTGCAGAGGATCTGAGTTCAATTCTCATTACCCATGTGACAGCTCATAATCGTCTGTAACTCCAAGGAATCCAGTGCCCTCTTGTAGCCTCCATGGGAGCCAGGCATTCATGTGGTGTGCAGACATACATGCGGGCAAAATACTAATACACATAAAATAAGATTATGTAAGTGAAATAAGGCAATTCTGTGATAATTAATTATATCTATCTGTGATAAGTGATAAAAATTAGTATCTTGAACTGAATTATTATGGGTTAAAATTATAGCAGTATTAGAGGCTATAAATGTAGACATGGTAGAAGGATTCTAAAATTACAGTAATAGAAATGTAATTAAAGGTTAATTAACCTGTAATTAAAGAAATAATTAAAGGTTAATTAACAAATTTATCCAGGATTTGAGTTCACTCAATTCAGTTACTAATCACTCTACTGGTTACCATGCTCTGTCCTTTATGTATTAGATTCAAATCAATAATCCACTTTTCAGAACATAATCCTTTGAGATTTCATATATTGTATTTTGATCATTTTCCCATATATATTTTATTCAATTATTTTTGTTTTATATGTAAGGGTGTATTAGCCTGCACATGTGTATGTGTCCCACATGTGTGTCCAGTACCCACAAAAGTCAGGGCATTGGATTCCCTGGAGCTCAATGTGGGTGATTGTAAACCACCATGCAGGTGCTAAGAACAAAACCTGGGTCCTCTGCAAGAGAAACAAGTGATGCTGAGCCATCTCTCCAGCTGCCTGAAAACACAAATGTATTTTTTTAAATAGTTTCTGTTGTCAATTTGGATGCCAATTTTATTTTTCAAAGTTTATGATCACCTTACAGGTTGAAATGTCCTGCTGAAAATACATTTTTATTTTTAGTATTCACTACTGTATCCTTGGGGCCTAGATGAGTGTCTGATATATAATGTACAACTAACAGTGAATAAATGATTATTAAGATTTCTATTTCAAAGTAAGTAGTCCAATAACAGGGGACCTCACTTTGTATATCAGCTATGTTTGGTTATATACACTAAATCATTAAGGTTCACTAAGGACTGTATTGAAATTCTATATGTAGCTGTTATTTATTCAGTCTCTTAGAGTGCCATTTGAAAACTTTTGTATCAGCTGCCATATTTTCAGTACTAAATGTCTTATTGCATACCATATCTTCTTCCTTATAGGAGTAGATAACCTAAACCATGAAGAGCAAACATTACTCTAAAGAGTATTTAAGTAGAAAACTTCTTCAGTTGGTCATCTAAATGGTTTATTTCAGGTGCTGGATATCGCATAGTCATGGAGAAAGAACCATATTGTGATGTTAACAATATCGTTGCAATGATTCAGCATCATATTCCAGATGCTGTGTTGGAAAATGATTTAGGAAGTGAGTTATCATTTATCCTATCCAAAAAGTATGTATCAAGGTATGGATCTCAATAATTTTAGATGGTTGGTTTGGGGGTTACTAGAAACATGTTTTCATTTCCTAGGCTTAGTAACCTTAGCGAGTAATGCATTTATAGTAAACCAAAGTTTCTATTTATAGCTACCATTTGCCAAGTAGAGTTAGAAAGCTCATAGCTTAATATTTCTGCTACTAAACAGAGAGTTGCCTCATAATTTCAAGGTCACTCAAGGCTTATTTGATACTTTGTTTCAAATTTTCCAACCTAGTGGCCATAGTTTTGAATACTAGTGGTGGATAGTAATGACACTGTTTCCAGTGTACAAACAGATGCATAGAAATGGGACCCAGAGAAATATTAAGATGGTAAAGAGTAATGCAGGTTGAATGGCAACTCTTAGAGAAGCTATAACACATCTGTTTGACCTCTACTACTAGCTAGATGAGTTATTGGAGGTATTCACCAAGACACTTCATTGTGATTACCATCCCAGCTAAGAGTGTTTGTTGTTCATCTTCCAGGACTGTACTAGGTTTTTGTTCTTGTCAGAAGTTATTCCACCTAGATATTCATCTGTGATTAATACTGGCCATCATAGGCTCATGTATTTGAATTCTTAGTCTCCATTTTATGGAACTATTTGGAAAGGATTAGGAGGTATGGCCTTGTTGGAGGATATGTGTGTCACTGGGAGTGAGCTTTAAGGTTTCAAAAGCTCACACCACTCTCAGCGCTTACTCTCTCCCTCCCCCCCTCCTTTTCTCTTCCCCTCCCTCCCATGCTTGTGGATCAAATTTAAGTTCTCAGCTACTACTCCAGTACCATGCTCACATACCTGATGCCATGTTCCCTGCCATGATGATCTTGGACTAACCCTAAAAAACTATAAGCAAGACCCCCAATAAATTCTTTCTTCTAAAAGTTGCTTTGGCCTGATATGTCTTCACAGCAACAGAAAAGCAGCTGATGCAGAAGTTGGTACCAAGGCATGAGCTATTGCTGTAACAGGTCTCATCATGCTGGGGGTTTCGGGGGGGTTGGCTCTTTTGGGTTTTTGTTTTGTTGTTTTCTTTTGTTTTTTGAGGAACGTGGAAAACTTCGGTACTGTGAAGCAGAAAAGCAGTTAGCACTGTAAGTGGGACATAATGGGTCACCTAGTAAGAGCTTGGAAGACAGTAGTGCTGAGAACAGTGTGGACTAGGGAGGCCCAGCTCAACAAGTTTCAAAGGGGAACAATAATTGCAACTGAGTTAGAAACATTCTTATATTTTTGCAAGGAATCTGGCTTCTTTCTGCCCTTGTCCTGGGAATCTGCTAAGCTAAATTGAAATGTTTAGAACTAATTTCATTGGTAGAGGAAATTTCAAGACAGCCTAATATTGACTCTGTTGTATGGTTATTAGTTATTGCCCTTATACGGATCTATAATGAAAAAGAGCAAGCAGGGCAAACTAAAGTACAAAATGTACAGTTGGAGAAGAAAAAATGTTACCAGAAAATTTAATGTTAGAACCTTGGTTTATGCTGAAAGAGATGAGGAAAAAATGGAGTGGAGTGGTACCCTCAGGGTGAAACCACAAGTACCTAACCCTGAAATTTGTAAAAGGGCCTAAGAAATTATATGTTACTAAAAAGCAACAACAAATCAAAACTTATGCAAATGTAATTCAAGGAAGGGCCAAGTTCAAACCCAAACAGGCAATAGAACTTGACAGCTTTGGCCATGTAGCTCTGGCTTTAGAGTCGTGAGGGATATAGAAGTAAAGGGATTGTAGAATCTTCCTCCATGGTTAAGGAAAGCCACTGAGGTCATGCATATGACAGGAGTGTCCCTGCATGGAACCCAGAGAGGCCATTGTGTAGAGCTGTGAAAGTGATTCCTGGATTACATTGAACAACCCAATGTTGGAGATGCCAGAATCATGGTATGGTATTTTAAATGCTATTGGCCCCCATAATCTTACAGGGATTGGCACTATTACAAAGTGTGGCCTTGTTGGAGTAAGGGTGGTCTTGGAGGAAGTGTGTCACTCTGGGGGCAGGCTTTGTGGTTTCCTGTGCTCAGGATTCCACTCAATTCCAGAGTCATTTTCCTGATGCCTGCAAGATGTAATCTCATCTCCTTCTCTAGCACCATGCTTGCCTACATGCTGCCACATTCCCCACAATGATGGTTATGGACTGAACCACTGAAACTGTAAGCAAGCCACCGCAATTAAATGTTTTCCTTTATAAGAGTTGCCATGATCATGGTGTCTTTTCACAGCAATAGAAACCCTAACTAAGACAGAAGGGACTTCTGCCAAGAAGAGCTGCAAACAGGGAATGAAGCTAGCCTGAGAGAGAGGTGTGTTGCCACACTCAGCAAAGATGAGAGGAAAGAGCCATCTAATCCCTTTGATATCAGACATAGAGCTACAGGATTTGAAAAACCTCCTGGTTCAGCCTTGCTTTGGTCCAGTATTTCCTCCCTATGTCCCTTATTCCTCCTCTTTGGAATGGTAATTTATATCCTGTGCCATTATGTATTGTAAGTACATAATTTGCTTTGTTATTTTACAGGGGGTTACAGAGAAGGTATTGCTTTGAGTCTTGGAGCTTTGGACTTTAAATAGTGTTGAGACAGTGAAAGATTATGGGTACTTCTGAAGTTGGACTGAAATGCATTTTGCATTATTATGTGGATTCAAGCCTTGGTCCATGGTCATGGTAGAACTGTTTGGAAAGAATTAGGAGGTGTGTCTTGTTGGAGGAGGTGCACCACTGGGGATGGGCTCTGAGGTTTCAAAGCCCATGCAATTCCCACTTAGCATGTTCTCCCAGAGAGAAGAAAGAAAGTTTTGAAAGACCATAACTATAGAAGTTCACTGAAACATGTAGACTTTCTGTCTGGTTAATTTTGGTATGTATTTGTTTTGTTTTGTTTTTTGAAAGTTCTTTACAACAAAGTTTGAATTTTAAAAATTTAAATCTTACCACAAGACAGACATCTTGTGTCTGCATTTGTCGTCCAAAGCTGAGGCAGTAAGGTTACATGACCCCATAAATTTGAGGCAAGCATAGTAAGAACCTATATTAAGAAAAGTGAATTCACAAAGAAAACTTCAGAGCCAAATGTTTTTAAGTATTAAATGTACCAAACTCTTAAAGAACTTTTTAAAATTACCAATTATATACATTTTCCTGGAAAAATTAGAGAAAGGAACATTTCAAATTTGTTTTGGAAGATCAATATTTCCCATATGAACAAATCAACTAGTGACATTACCAGAATGGTATTTTTGTACAATGATTTTCAGCAAAATATGTTAGGTCTTAGATATAGGTGAAAACTAGTGACTGTAGTGACAAGATCCAGAAGAACAAAAACGTGGCCTGAGCGCATTTGAAGAATGACCACAGGGAAAAGCGTCAGTCTGAACTGAGTAAAATTAGAACCAACAACCAAAGCAAATGATATTATCTGGAGGTCGAGTTTGGCCTGTTAAAGGGAAGAACTTTGGGATTTGATGTCACCTTTGTTAAGGGACATACTAAGTTGTACTAGTTAGTTTTTCCTGTCACTTTGACACAGTCTAGAGTTCCCTGAGAAGAGAGGACCTCTTCTCAGGGAACCTTCTTCTGAGGGATGCCTGGATCGGATTACCCTGTGGCTATATCTGTGAGAGATTGTCTTGATTGATGATGGTTGTGGGAGGGCCCAGACCCTGTGGGAGGTACTCATCCCATGCAGGTGGCCCTAGACTCTGTAATAAAATAGGCTCATCCTGAGCCTGGAACAGACAGAATGAGCCAGTAAGCAGCATGTCTCCATGGTTTCTGCTTCAAGCTCCTGCCTTTAGTTCCTACTTTAGTTTCATAGGGTGATGAACTATAACCTGTAAGGTGAAATAAACCTTTTCCTCCCTTAAGTTGTTTTGGTCATGGTGTCTGTCACAGCAATAGAAACAAGCCATACGTCTTCCTGATAAAATTATTTCTAGAATCCTTGATGTCACTACTGTATAAATTAGCAAAAAAAAAAAAGACTATATATATATATATATATATATATATATATATATATATATATATATATATATTATTCTCCTGGATATCTAAATCTTTTGTAGCCACTAGCCAGTTTTTACTCCACTATTTCAGAACTTTCCCACAGAAACCATAGGTGAATAATCTGTTGTCAAGTGACTGTAGTCCCCAACTTGCTTAGAAAATAAACTGATGGTTTTATTAGATTAACAAAGGAATTTATGTCAAATAATAAGTTATAGTACAAAGAAATTTGACAAAGTAAACCCCTCTTCCTTCCCATCTCCTTGTGATAAGCAGTAGAGTAAGAAATGGTCTACTAACATTTTACAACTGTTAACTAAAAATTTCTACAGAGCAAAACAATATTGAAATTCTATTTTGCAAAAAAAGAAGATTCAGACACTGGGCTGGGGCTCAGGTCTGCAGTTCCCACTGTTCTACCCACCCTGCATCACGATCCCTCCAGTCTCACTGCAGTCATGAGCAGCATGCTTACAGGTGCACCTCCTCCACCCTACCTCTGTTCTCTGGGTGGTATTCCTCTTGTTATGACCCAACTTAGTTCTTTCCCTCAGACCCTCTCAGCCTTCTCTTCTAGCTCATCTCCATTCCCTGTGTCAGCCACCAACACCCAGAAACACTTTCTACCAGAGACCCCACACACACAAGTGGCCACACCAGGCTGAGACTCAAGAGATTTGTCTTCTTTTCCTCCATTACAAGCTCTCAAGGCTCACCTGCAGTCCTTTAGCAATATGCTTACAGAGCCCCTCCTCACACCCAGTTCCATTTACTGGAGATTCCACCTCTTGGTGCAAACCATGGGTCCCTTGACACTTTTGTCCCTAACTCTCCAGACATATTCTTTGTCCCACTGTAGCCTGCTTGTAAGAGTTTCTCCCACCACACAACTCTTGCTGTGGGCAGAATCCCCATAGCTCTTTCTCACAGCCCCCTCACTGTTTTTTCTTATCCTGTCTCCATTC